CATCTGCAGATGCCTACTAAACAGACAACATCTGCAGATGAAGTTGCAGGGATATCAGTTCATAGCAAATTTATCGTATGAATTTACCACAGCAACTTCATCTGCAGATGTTGTCTGTTTAGTAGGCATCTGCAGATGAAGTTGCAGGGATATCAGTTCATAGCAAATTTATCGTATGAATTTACCACAGCAACTTCATCTGCAGATGCCTACTAAACAGACAACAACAGGAGGACACAGTATGCCCTAACACACTGCCCCACCTCAAGAACATACTGGAACTGATAAGACTCCTAAGACTACTAGGAATCACAGTGGCACACAAGCCCACAGCGGCTCTATGACAAATACTCACAAGGATTATAGACCCCATTCCCACAACATGCAGAACCAACATGGTTTACAAAATACCATGCGACTGCCACAAACATTACACCGGACAGACAGGAAGGAAACTAACCATCAGAATACACTAACCTCAGCTAGCAGCGAAACGACATGACAAATTCTCCTTAATATCGTACACTCAGACATTGAAGACCAATCAGTTTAACTGGGACAAGATAATCATAGTAGCCCAAGCCAAACATAGGCATGCACAGGAATTCCTAGAGGCATGGTTCTCCACCCATAATGCAATCAACAAACATATAGAATTGGACTCCATACACAAACCCATACAGATCAAAACCAGAAATGACACCACTCACCATAGCCAGACAGTATAAATTCCTAGTATGGTGACGAAACGTCTGAATGAAAACAAGCCAGCTCAACCAGCAAGTCAACAACCTCAGCCACAGCCCGAGCTACAGATCTTTGCTAAAACTTTAAAGTGATAATATCCACTTGTTCCATAATACAAACAATGCAGGTCTAACTCACTTAAATGCTTTTGTTGAGTTAGGAATAATTAATGTCAGTCACTTTCTACTGCAAACCCCAGTGCATGATAAACAGTTTAAAAACTACACAGTTGATAACTATTTCAGAAGCTATTTGGATGTTAAAATGAACTCGTTGAGAAGGGGTTTTACTGGAGGTAGAAAATATATTTAAAAACATAAAACCTATGTTTTGTTTCAATTTCACACTTAGTCATATCATACTCCATTTTAGATCTTTGTCTACTCAGTCATTTAATGGGATACAAAAATAAAAGTGGTATCATAAACAAACAAATTGTATAGAAAAAGTAAATGGAGTGTAATATGTCAGATATTCTATCCTATAATTACCAAGGTGAATTTCTCTGTACAAGGAGTGATCAATAACTGGAACATGTCAGGATTCTTGAGGCCAGTATATTGGACTCATTCAATAAACATCTAAATCCTGTAATGGGAAGACAGTAGGGTTGGTGTTTGGGAAGTACATGATCGAACATGGACTGAAGAGCCATCTTGTTATTTTGATGGACGTTTGATGAGACCTGCAGTCAGATCAGGTCCATTCAATGGGACTAGCAATAATGTAGAATCTTTAGGAAAGGATGTAGTATTTTATTTTGAAGAATTAATTTGATTATAAATGGTGGACAAGCTTTGGGGAGGCAGACTCAATTGAAGGGAAGTGTATAATTATCTTGAGAAAATATTTGCAGAGTTGCAAGGAAAGGCAAGGGAACGAGACTTGCGGAGTTGTTTCTATAGAAAGCCAGCAAAGACGTGGCAGGCTGAATGACCTTAATATGTGCTTTGATGATTCCAGGATTCTATGCAAATTTTCAATTGTTACTCAAAATGCAAGAAAATAAAACAAACAGTGTTTGATGCACTATAGTTAGGCTTTCCAGGAAACTGTCAATATTATTCATTTCAATTATTTTAGTGCACAGATAATCAATATACCTCTTTTGTCTTAACAGCAACTAATAGGAGATATCCTCTATTGGTGTGTTGCAGGGCTTCAGGGCTATGAGATTCACTGGATGTACTACATCTCCTGTAACATGATTATCGCAGCATTTCCATATGTACCATAGATTAGTAATCCTCAAACTATGCGATCTTTACCATCCAACAGCAAATGAGGAAATTAAATGTTGCATTTTGATCTTGATTGTTTTTGTTTATTAGGATTGTCACATTAGTCAATGAGACAATTACAGTTTAAATTATTATAATTTAGAAATGCAACATAGCAGCAGTGATGTAATAATTGGAGCAAAAGAAAAATGTTGGACAGGTGCATTAGGACATACTCAAATGCCATTGGCCAGTGCATCAAATACAAATCTAGATAGTCTAGCTGTAGGTCCTCCAGTGTCTTACGGCATGCTGTTTCCACATCATCTGGGTGATGCTTGGTGTTCCAAAGTTTGGATGTAATGAAAATATCCTCCCGCTTGATAGACTACAGAAAGACAATGAGATAACAAAAAAAAAAAAAATTGAACTGACTTATATAATCTCTTTTGCTGTTTTATGATACATGCTCCACACACCACTTAGTAAAAATCAGGAATGGATTTCCATTCTGGGGAAAATTGCTTACTTATGCATTTTATTGTGATTTTGATCAGAAACATGCAATCAATACGACACTAGGTCATGTTAGCACACTGGTAAACATACTTTCTTGCAGATTAAAGAAGAAGTTTGATTTGGTGATGTGAAATTAAGTATATTTACTATTCACAAGACTTGAAGAAATAGTTCAGTGAGGAAGAAAGAAGACACTCCAACAGAATTTCTCTTGATACAGCATCTTCAGTGCTAGTTAAGAACTGGAGAGTTTTAATGATGGGGAATGGTGGGATGCAAGGGAAAAATAAATCATCAGAAAAGATTAGAACAGATCAGAATAGATGTGGTTTCACTGACAGTTACTAAAAATCGATAAATATTTAAACATGGATTACTAAATGTAGTGACTTTATTAATATTTTGAAATCAATATCTGCTTTAGACCCAAAGTGCAGCTATGGAAAGGATGAATTTCCCTTGCTTTGAAATCCCTACGTTTTTTGTTCATTTTTTTTCTGCTTTTGTAAGCTGCTTTTCAGTATTAGTAGTGAAAAAAACAGTTCTGCTTTCGTCTTGCTTTTAAATAATTTCCTTACAAATAGTCACTGATTGTACAGAAATTGAGCTTGCTGAAACAAAAAGACACATTTTGATGACGATTTGTACTTTGCATTGAGGACAGTTTACAAGATTACCAGTTCAAGGGGGCAACCAATATTAACCATGCATGACAGAAGAGTGCTGATTCGTAGGCAGTGCACTCTGATTGGTTGAGGTGTTGTCATGAAGAATCCACCTGCTGATTTAAACTTCCAATTCTTTTCAAATTTTAAACAAAGCAGTTAACTCAGATTTAAAAGGGTCACCAGACCCAAACTGATAACTCAGATTTCTCTTCACAGATGCTGCCAGATCTGCTGAGCTTTTCCAGCAATTTCTGTTTTTGTTCCACTTTCCAACCAAATCAGCAGTCTCCCCTCTTTCAGTCTAACTGTTGGTTTTCTCCTTGATTTGGTATTCTTGTGAACTGTCATGATAAATGCAAGATGAAATTCTTGACAATTTTTAAGCAATACTAATTTATTTACATTATAAACAACAACAACTTTACAACACAGAAGAGCTCAGCCTAAAATCATCCATAAAAGATAAATGGATCCCTGGTACCATGAAATATTTAACAAATGGACTCTAAAATGTTGGTTTGCATTGTCAAACTGTTAGTAACTGTGGTATCTACCAATATCAAAGTGTCATGAAATGATTCCGATTAGAGATTAGAGATAGGCTTGGAATTGATCACATTCTGAATAGATTATAGGTTGCTATGATAACCAGTAGGACAGAGAAGTGGTGCTGATTCACACCGAAATTGATTAGACAGGCACTGTGTGGCAATGCCAGAATGGGGTTAGCCCATTACAATGCCAAAGTTGCTGATTACTGAACGTTACACCACTTTATTACACCCTTATTCTTGCAAGGACTCCATTCTCCTAGTCTTTGTGCCTCCAGTGCATCTGATCTGATGATGCCATCTTCAACACGGGTGTGCCCAACAGGGTTCTCCTTTTTCCTCAAACAATGATCCCCTTATCTGCCCACCATGGTTAACACAACTCAGCTGTCTCCAGCAAATTATCCCCCCCTCCCCTCAGCCCTTTCCCTCCCTCCCAGAACAAGCATAGCGTTCCCTTGTCCTTACTGACCAGCCCTGACTCTCTGCAGTCAAAGGATTATTCTCTGCCGTTTCCAATACCTCAAAGTATGCCACCAAACATATCCTCCCCTCCCCTACCCTCTATCGGCATTCTGGAGGAATGTTCCCTCTATCACACCCTCGTCCATTCCTCCATCACACCTAACACTCCCTCACTTCCCCATTCAATTACAAAGGTGTACTACTTACCTATTCACCACCTCCTTACTCACTGTCCAAAGTCCCAAGCACACCTGCCAGGTGAAGCAGCATTTTATTTGTAATACCTTCAATTTGGTCCACGTATTCACTTTCACAATGCACCGTCCTTTCCGATGGTGAGAATAAATGCAGGTTGAGTGACTTTTGTGGAACATCTCTGCTCTATCCATAAGAATGACCCAGATCTTCCAGTTTCTTGCTATTTCAATAAACCATTTTTCTCCCATGCCAACATTTTTCTCCTAGGCCTACTGAAGTGTTCAGGGAAACTCAATGTTTCATTTTTCTACACTTTACAGCTATCAGCACTCAATTCAACAACTTCAGAGCATGAACACTATCCTTCATTTTGATTTTCCACCCCCAGCCCTTCGTGGGTCTTATTTGCATCTCATTGTTTTTGGTGAGTTTCTTTTTTTTTCCCTTATTGAAACCTACCTATTCCATAGCAATTTTTTACATCTCCATTTCTCCTTTATCAGCATGCATACTCCCTTCGCATTTTGCTCTACACATCATCACAATCTGCTCCACTTACTGCTCCTTCCTCTTTGTAAGCAGCAGAAGACCATAATTTCCTGCCCCTTTTTACTTCCAAAGAAGAGAGTCTTTCGAGTTGAAGCATTAACTCTGTTTTTCTCTCCACAGATGCTGCCAGATCTGTGAAGTTCCTCAAGAACTATTCTTTTCATTCCAAAGTTACGGATGCCTGGCACTGGGAGTGATTTTTTTTTTTTTTGCTCAGCTAGATATGCATTGGTACATCGTGTTGTTCCAGCTCATGTCCAAGGGACTGCTGGCATCTTTTGTGAACCCTATCCTGTATTAAGAAGACGAATGGTGTTGAGGATCCTGAGAAGAGCATGTAAGATTCTTGATAAAGTTTGCCTTATCATAGAACATAGAACAGTACAGCACAGTGCAGGCCCTTCGGCCCATGATGTTGTGCCAACCTATTATCCTACTAAGATCAATCTACCCTGCATACCCTACATTTTATTATCCTCCATGTGCCGATCCAAGAGTCGCTTAAAAGTCTCTAAAACAGCTCCACTACCACTGCCAGCAGTGCATTCCACACACCCACCACTCTCTGTATGAAGCGCTTACCTCGGACATCTCCCCTATACTTTCCTCCAATCACCTTAAAATTATGCCCCCTCGTAATAGTTGTTTCCGCCCTGGGAAAAAGTCTCTGACTATCCATTCTATCTATGCCTCTCATCATCTTGTACACCTCTATCAAGTCACCTCTCATCCTTCTTCACTCCAATGAAAAAAGCCTTAGCTCCCTCAACCTTTCCTCATAAGACCTGCCCTCCAGTCCAGGCAGCATCCTGGTAAGTCTCCTCTGCATCCTCTCTAAAGCTTCCACGTCTTTCCTATAATGAGTTGACCAGAACTGAACACAATATTCCAAGTGTGGTCTAACCAGAATTTCATAGAACTGCAACATAATCTCACGGCTGTTAAACTCAATTCCCCTGCCAATGAAAGCCAACACACCATACGCCTTCTTTACAACCTTATCAACTTGGGTCGCAACTTTGAGGGATCTATGGATGTGGACCCCAAGATCCTTCTGTTCCTGCACACTGCTGAGAATCCTGTCATTAACCCTGTATTCTGCATTCAAATTCTACCTTCCAAAATGAATCACTTCACACTTTTCTGGGTTGAATTCCATCTGCCACTTCTTTGCCCAGCTCTGCATCCTGTCAATGTCCCGTTGCAACCTACAACAGCTCTCCACGCTGTCCACAACTCCACCAACCTTCATGTCATCGGCAAACTTACTAACCCATCCTTCTACTTCCTCATCCAAGTCATTTATAAAGATCACAAAGAGCAGAGGTCCCAGAACAGATCTCTGCGGAACACCATTGGTCACCGAGCTCCAGGCTGAATACTTTCCATCTGCTACCACCTTCTGTCTTCTATTGACAATTTATATTTGTATCAAGCATGCTTAAAAGGAAAAGCAGTATAAAAGTGCACCGTATTCACTGCAATGCTACAAGTCCATCATCATTTTACAGCACTATGTTGATATTACTATACACTGATATTATTGGGACTATACGACATCTATCTCATGATTTGAGCAGTTATATGTACTGGTTCTTGATTGAGCACATGCTGATGCATCTTTTAATTGATTTGTGAATTGTGAAAGTAAATGCCAAGGCACTGGAGTAATTCATTAAAAAAAAACTTAAGGGTACTTAAAAATTTATTAACAGTTACAAGTTACAAGGGACTAATTGCAGAAAAATAATTTTTTTCTTTATCTGTTAACAAGATGAGGGCATCACTGGCAAGGCAGCATTTATTGCCCATCCCTAATTGCCCAGACAGCAGTTCAGAGTCAACCACATTGCTGTGGGTCAGGAGTCACATGTAGGCCAGACCAGTTAAGAATGGCAGTTTTCTTCCCTAATGGACAGTAGTGAACCAGATGGGTTTTTACCCAACAGTGGGTCCATGATCATTAGATTCTTAATTCCAGGTATTTTATTGAATTCAAGTTCCACCATCTGCCATGGCAGGATTCGCAACTGGGTCCCCAGAATGTTATCTAGGTCTCAACCCAAATTCTCGGATTGCACTGGAGTGGGAGAGAGTGTATGTTCAAATTGTGGAAAATGGGCTGTCATTTCACTGCACACTCAGCACTTTTAAACTGCATGTCAGTTGGAGTGCCACAAGTAGTGACACTAATTCAACGTCATTGCATACCAAAGTCAAAATCGTCACGGACTCCCTGCCTGCTATATGGTGTCTCCAGAAATGGATCTATACCTGGCTTACACCAGCAGTCCAGCAATGCATGAATCATGCTGCCTGAAAGATACAGTTACATTACCTACCAACATCAAATATATTTTAGTCTGTAATATAGGGAGATCACTTTGGCTAACTCACGGATGATCAAAACTCCAGAATAAATAACTATAAAAAGAATGAAACTCCATTTTGTAGCTTCCCTTTGAGAATGTTAATCAGCCTTAACTTGGAATATATACAGGGAAAAAAAAAATGGAAAGAGGGTTATGTGGAGATGAAGGATTTGAGTATTACACCCAGAAGGCTTCTAAATCCATTAATATACTGTGGGGTGAAGTGTAGCTTCATATAATCTGTTAGAGATTAAATAAACCACTAATAATCTTTATAAACTGTAAATTTAACTTGGGTTATATCCAAAAAGAAAACACATGCATATAATACCAAATTTCTTGATTTTAAATAGTTTCTCTCCCGATTATGGAGGTGGTGGGTTGCTGTTCCAATTAATTTCTCTTTCTTAAAAAAAACAAACAAACTCGCCAGCTTCCTTACTTTATTGACTTGTAATTTTTCATGAAAGACTTCTCCAATTTCATGCTCATTGCTGTAGCCAAAAGCACAGTCTATATGTTGGTATCCTATTTCAAGGGCATAACTGACTGCTGATTTCACCTGCAGAAAGCAAAGTAGCACAGATTCAAATGTTTGTGAGGTGCACTATCTCGTTTTAATGACAGATCCGATTCTACTCAACTTGTATTGCAAAATATTTAAGGTGCTTAAGATGGGTCATGATTCCCCTGGGACCAAGACTTGAATGAATGAATCAATTAATCAATCTAGATTGCATGGGAAGAATTTTGCTGATTGAAGGGATTTTGTATTAAGTTGTATTTTTTTGCAGCTTTCAGTTTTTAAGAGGCAAAATCACACAATGCACACAGTGAATAAATTTAGCATTTGTCTCACTCATTAAAAAGGTGCATGAGAAACTAGTTTGGGCTGTGAAAAATCTAACACTGAAGTTGGTTATTTGAGGTTGGCTCAGTGGAAGCGCCTTGGATTTTGAGTCATAGAGCCGTATAGCATGGACATAGACTCTGTAGTCCAACTTGTTCATCCCAACCAGATATCTTAAATTAATCTAGTCCCACTTGCCAGCATTCGGCCGATATTCCTCTAAGCCCTTCCTATTCATATACTCATCCAGATACCTTTTCAATGTTGTAATTGTACCAGCCTCCACCAATGCCTCTGGCAGCTCATTGCGTAGATGCACCACCCTCTGAGAAAAAGTTGCCCCTTAGATCCCTTTTAAGTCTTTCCCCTCTCAACTTAAACCTATGCCCTCTAATTTTGGACCTCCCCTACCCTGGGGAGAATACCTTGGCTATTCATCTTGTCCATGCTCCTCATAATTTTATAAATTTCTATAAGGTCACCCCTCAGCCTCCAGTGCCTATTCAGCCTCTCCTTATAGCTCAACCGCCAATCCTGGCAACATCCTTGTAAATCTTTTCTGAACCCTTTTAAGTTTCAAACATCCTTCCTGTATCAGGGAGAACAGAATTGCACACAGTATTCCAAATGTGACTAACTAATGTTCTGTACAGCCGCAACATGACCTCACAACTACGATAATCAGTGCACTGACCAATAAAAGCAAGCAAAGCCAAAAGCCTTCATCCCTATCCTGTCTACCTGGGACTCAACTTTCAAGGAACTATGGACCTGCTGTCCAAGATGGCTTTGTTCAGTAACACTCCCCAGAACCTTATCATTAAAGTGTACAAGTCCTGCCCTAATTTGCCTTTCCAAAACACAGCACCTCATTTATTTAAAATAAACTTCATCTGTCACTCCTCAGCCCATTGGCCCATCTGATCAAGGTCCTGTTGTACTCAGAGGTAACCTTCTTTGCTCTCCACTGTACATCTAAACTTGGTGTCATCTGCAAACTTATTAACCATACCTCCTATGTTCACATCTAAATCATTTATATAAATGACAAAAAGCAGTGGACTCAGCACAAAAATAGCTTGTGGCACACTGCTGGTCACAGGCCTCTAGTTTGAAAAGCAACCCTCCACCACCACCCTCTGCCTTCTACCCGAGCTAGTTGTGTATCTAAGTGGCTATTTCTCCCTGGATTCGATGTGATCTAACCTTCTTAACCAGTCTACTATGAGGAACCTTGTCGAATGTCTTGCTGAAGCCCATATACATCATGTCCACTGCTCTGCCCTCAATCCTTTTCATTGAGGTAGTAATCAAGTTAGTGAGACAATTTTCCACGTGCAAAGCCATGTTGACTCTCACTGATTGGTCCTTGCCTTTCCAAATACACGAAAATCCTGTCCCTCAGGATTCCTCCAACAACTTGCCCATCATATAGGACATGAGCTTTCCAACAGGTGACTTTGCCAAGTCCATTGGTGATGTTGGTTTTATTCCTCGTTCAAGTGTAGAAGAAAATAAATTATGGTGAGGAACGTGTAGTGGCTAAAATGATTTAAAATAACAAACAATTGACTAATAAGTGTGTTGCAACTATAGGCACTTACTTGTCCAGCTGAACTTTTCCATGTTCCCAATCCAACCAGTGGCATTTTTTGCCCATTGGAAAGAGTAACATAGTCACAACTCATTTTTAGTCCTCGTTGTGCAGCTGTGAATTGTTAAAACAATACAACCTGTTTAAAGCCACAAAAATAATCTGTAAGTGGGGAATAATGCGAGACTCTACAAAACAACAAGTGAGGCAATATTCTCAATCTGGCTGACAGAAATATCTGAACTGATTTTTGTCAATAGTAATTTCTCCAAGCCTTGGCTCCCATCAAAGGGAATTATTTAGCTTCTACTTCTTTCTTCCCCAATAGCAGAACAATTTATAAAAGTTGTCGACAGTTATTCAAACCAGCATACTATCACTTCACAATGTAACACATTGTTGCACCAAGATAATGGTCTTCCTTCAAATGCTTTCAATTATAAAAGACAAATTAATGTTCCCATGTTCTCAGCAGAAAAACTGCTTGAAGGGAGTGCAGGTCAGAGAGAGCTACAGCTTTGCAGTTCTAATTCTGACTGCTTTCCTTCGAATATAGTTCTGAACTGAAAGAGCTGGGTTTGTTGAATTTACCCACTAAATTAATAGCAGTGATTAAATGTGCTCTGCTATGAATTAATTTTTTAAAATTCACAATCGCCAGTCCCCATAGCAAGGGCAGCACTGCTGCCTCAAAGCACTAGGAACCTGGATTTGATTCCACCCTTGTGTTTGCACTGATTTCCTCCCACAGTCCAAAAGATGTGCAGGCTAGGTGGATTAGCCATGGGAAATGTGGGGATGTGGGGGGCCTAGGTGGGATGCTCCTCAGTCGGTGTGGACTCAACTGACTGAATTCTATGAAACACTAACAAATTAAAGACAAGCACTGGTTAGAGGTGAAGTGCCTCCTAGATCAAGAGGTAGAACAAAAAAAAAGGGCTCATTAGTCCAGACCATTCCACTGTAGCTGTTGTCTGTATAACGCTATTGGCAAAAGATCCAGAAAAAGAAGTCTCTTTCTGCCCTTCAAGATGAGGATCAATCCATAACCTGTGAGGCACAGGGATGAGGAAGGCAATGCTGAAAAAGCAGGGACATGAAGGCACATAACATTTTCTCCATTCATTTTTGTAATGTGGTTGCCCTTTATCCATCCTTAGTTGCCACAATAAGGAACAGACTAAACGAAGTGGCTTACTAGGGCCGATAACTAGGCCTTTGTGTTTACACTGTCTAATCCTGTTACAATCTTATAGGTTTCCAAAATGAAATTACCCTTCGTTCTTCTAAACTCCAGTCTTAACCAATCCAGTCTCAATTCATATGTTAGTCTTGCCATCCCAGGAATCAATCTGATAGATGTTTGTTACACTTCCTCCATAATTGGGATACCCTTCCTCAGGTACGGAGACAACACTGCATACAATATTCCAAGTACTTGGGCATCACAGCGGCTCAGTGGTTAGCAATACTGCTTCACTGAACCAGGGAACAGATTCTTTGGCCTTGGGCGACTGTCTTGTGTTGTATATTCTCCCCATGTCTGTGTGGGTTTCCTTTGGGTGCTCCGGTTTCCTCCCAAAGTCCAAGGATGTGCAGGTTAGGTGGATTGGCCTTGGGAAATGCTGGGTTACAGGGATAGAGTGCAGGTGGGATGCTCTGTGAAGGGCTGGTGTGGACTTGATGGGACAAAATAGCCTGCTTCTGTACCGTCAGGGTTCTAGGATTCTAAGAGAAGATCAATTGTTGCTACTGATATTTACTATAGTCTTCTGAAACTCAATGCAATGTTAAATTACTTTTCTGGGAATTGAATGCCTGGTTTCCATTGTGACCTTTACTTTTCTGTGATAATTAACCCAAACTGTACTCTGGAACTAAAGATGGAAAACTTGCAGTTTTACATTTGGTTAAAGAATAATTTTGTTTATCCACTGGCTAATGTGATTGATTTACACCAAGGTATGTCAGCACTCAAACTTGACAAAAATACTATAGAAGCATAGAAACATATTAAACTGGAGGAGGAGGTGGTCATTTTGGCTCTTCAAATCTGCTGTCATTCAATGATGATGGCTGATCATCCTACTCAGTACTCTGTTCCTAACTTCTTTGATCCCTTTAGCCCTGAGAACTATATCTAACTTGTTCTTTAACTAACTCCTAAATGACCTACCTAGTACCCTTAGACTGTAACCCCTGGGTGGACTCCCCAGTCGTGGTGAACATCCTCCCTTTATTTACACTAACAGGACTAAAACAGGCTTAAATTTAGAAAAGAGTACCCCTCATTCTTCTAAACTCCAGTGAATATAGTCCTAATCAATCCAGTCTCTCCTCACATGTCTTCTTGCCATCCCAGGAATCAATCTGGTAGACCTTTGTTGCACTTCCTTCATAACAAGAGGAAACTTTCCTCAAGTATGGAAACAAAACTGCATAAATACTCCAAGTATGATCTCAAGGCCCTTTACGATTGCAGCAAGCTATCCCTGCTCCTGTACTCTAATCTTCTCGCTATGAAGGCCAACATACCATTTGTTGCCTTCACTACCTGCTGCATCTGCTTGCTTACTTTCAGGAACTGGTATACAAGGACACCCAGGTCTCCATTCAGCTCCACCTTTTTCAATCTACTGGCATTCCGATAATTTGCCTTTGTTTTTGCTACCAAAGTGAATAGCCTCAAGTTTATCCATATTATACTTCATCTGCCCACTCATTCAACTTGTCCAAAATCACATTGAAGCATCTCTGCACCCTCCTCACAATTCACCCTCCCACTCAGTCTTGTGCCATCTGCAAAATTGCAGATTTACATTAGTTCCTTCAACTAAAATCATTAAATATGTTGTGAATAGCTGGGGTACTAGCATTGATCCCTGCTCTACCCCACTATTCACTGGCTGCTGCTCAGAAAAATCTGTTTATTTATTACTCTTTGATTCCGGTCTGCCAACCAATTCTCTATTCATGTTAGTAGACTACCCACTACCACTAATCCCATGCGCTTTAATTTTACATATTCCTCTTATGTGGGACTTTATAGGCTTATTTGATGAAAAGATGATCTTTTAGTTATACAGCAGATGACAATAGGAAACATATTAGAGCTCTTTGCAGAGCTGATTACTTTGAAATGCAGTGACTGCTAATACAAACAACTCTAATATAATAAAAACATCCCAAGCTGCTCCTCTGGAACAGTGTTAAACAAAATGTAACCCTAAGCCATCAGAGATATTAGGAAAAACAGGCAAAAATTGTGTCAAGGAGGCAGGATTGACTAACTGTCACAAAGGAGGTGGAGATGGGGGTGTTTGGAGAGAATTAGGCTTAGGTCTACCAACAGTGTTGAGAAAAATCAAGAAACCACAGGGGATTGGAATTGAAAAAAGAGAGAGTGTATAACTGAAGGCGTTGAGGAGGTTAAATAAAGAAACAGGGATCAGGGATTTGAAAACAAGCTTGAGGATTTTAAATGCAGAATGACAGCCATTTTCTACACAACAGGATTCCATATGAAATGAGTGACAAGTAAAAAAGGATTTTTGTAGCTTTGGCTGTGTAAGAAAGCTTGGCCAACACAGTGGCTTTCTTTACTTTGAATTGTGCCATAAATCCTTGTACATCCACCTGAATCACTGGAAGAAGCGGATAGCTTTAAATTTACATGATACCCAAAAGTACCCTCTGATTACTGCCTTGCAGTGTCAGCCTCAATTTCTTGCTGAAGCTGGCATGCTGCCATATGTCTGCAGGATTCTTGTTTTTCACAAGAATTAGCTGACAAATTCTGCAAGACTTTGTTCTGCCATTTGTCATGGTTGAGCTAAAGACCGACATTAAGCTAGATATGAGCTAACTAGGTTATGAAAAATGAAAATTTCTAAAAAATTATTGGTTAATCTCAATGACAATTTTTCTTGCTGGTCAGATAAATAACTATTAGTGTTACATTTAAATGAAAAAAAAACACTACTCTTTTCAATTTCTTAATTTTGACTGGAGTCTGTAGAAGATAGGAGATATAGTCATTGCCTGACATAATGGAGGGAGAATGAGAAAGGGAAATTCACAAACTGTAGTGAATAAAATTATCAGAAACATAGGGTGGAATCTTCCCAGTTCCTGAATGACATTTACATTGGTGAAAAAATTGAGAAAATCATGAGACAGCCAATGAGGATCTAATTGGCATTGAGAATTTCATCTGTAGTTTAACACTTGGTTGGAAAAATGGGACATCTTTCTCCTCATGCCAAGTTTTCCAAACAAGTATTGAGCCGCAGATGAGATTCTTACTCAAAAGCAGCGAGAAACCTGTTTGCGTGCATTATTATGCATTAACTTCCTGTTTATTAGTTCATCTTGCCTCATTGAGAGCTATATGCAGTTTCCATTCTTCCACCTGCTGGATAGAAATTAGATGCTGACAATTTCTGAAACAGGTGGGGAAGTAGCACAGCAATGGGTAGTGATTATGTTTTTGGCAACTCCACATGACCGATCTTGGTCCTTGCTGGGTAGGATCCTCTCATAGGGGACGAGGAGCCAAATATTGGGCAGCCCACTAGTCTTGGCTCTTTCTGCCCTACCATGGACTATTTTCTCCTGAAACGAGAAAAAAGGGAGGGATTGAGTGAGATGAGAGTGGGTGGCACAGCTGTCAGTGATGGTGCAGGTGGAGGGAAGGTATCCTGAGAGAATATGTAGCAGAAACCACGCAGGGTTTGTCATGGAGCAGGTTGGGTGGGGTTGGTGGTGGTTAGGAGCAAGGGAGAGAAGATATGCATGGAGTAATGAGAGTGGTAGAGCATGAGCCTTGGTGGGAGCTTGATGTAATTACAAAGATATAGAGTGTGTGAGGTAGCAGAGAAAAAGATGGAGGCACTTAGCCTGGCAGAGAGGAGGAGGTTATTGACCTTCTTGCGGGATTGCGGAGTGTTTCTCTAGATTGTGGCAACTAGTTGGCAATGTAGGACCAGGCTGGCAGGATCTGATGTCATGGACTCTTCTGCCAGTACTGAATGACAAGGGCGGCCTTCCTCTCTATCACTCTGCCTACCTGGACCTCCAGGTTCCTGTCTGCAACGTGTGGTATCAATATTTCCTTGTCTGCACAACTTTTGTTTTGAATATGGCACTGGTGTCAGGAATCCTGTGATGTCCAGGAATGGCGTGTGGATCTGTTTACAGTGAGTGGGAGCAGGATGCCATAAGGTTGTGCAGCAAAGTTAATGAGGCGAGTTTGGGAAGATAACTTGTTAGGCCTCATGGAGCAAAATTCTCCAGAAACTTTAAATATATAAAAAAAAGACAACTGATTTTTCACCTTGAATTTGTATATCATTTATTTTCCTGGTTTATCATCATTTTACCTCGCATTTTGTTTTTGACTTCCCCAGGAAAGCTGGGGGTGGGGATTATAGAGTTGAAGAGGAAAAACTTCTGCTGTTGTAAATTTTTCTGATGACCTAAAAAAAGTACTTGGAAAATGTAATGGCACATGCGTACGAACAGTTGTTTGCTGTCAAGAAGTCAGAGGTTTTAAGTTTCCTCTGTATTTTAGCAGCTGGAAATGTTTTGGTAAAACAGTTGGTGATACTCCAATTAAGGCAATTAATGGTGTAACGGGATCTGATTAAAGAAGTTGATGAACTAGCTTCCTCACATACAACAGCTTGTTGTAAGTTATTGCTCATTGGCTGAACCATTTATGAAATCCTGCATGACCCACTGAACTACACCTCGTGTCAGCTATTGCAGCTGTTATCATTCAGTTATTTGACAAATGGAATGAATAAGAGATATGAGTATGCAGGGATCAAAGCCTCAGAACACATTATCCCAGGGAGAGGATGTACAAGAAAAACATTCCTGTAGCAAATAGGAATGCCTGAGAAGGTTGAGGCTTTCTAAGATTCCAAATATTGAGAATTGTGAAATGTTAGCTGGTGATTTTAGAATCTGTTCAGTAACTGTAATCACAACGCACACAATTGTTAATGGTCTTTAAATTTTTTCCAACTAAGCTAATTAGTTAATGGGGATCCAAAGTGGGTAAGTGAAAAGGCATTCATCTCGATAAGAGACACTGAACTACTCTTTATGGATACAGAACATTCTAATTTTTTTTATTTAAAAGAACTCAAGAATTGGGTAGGCAGATGGTCACAGTTCAGATCTATTTCTGCCTTTCCAAGAGTCATCAATGCTCTAAACTGGTGTTCATGCAGCTTACCTCGACGTGAAAGAATCTAGGAAAAATATTCTTCATGAATGCACAATCCATGAAAGTATTCATTCTTACTAATATTTATGATGATATTTGAATAGTTTTGCTTGACTGATTGATTGCTTATTTTGGGAATTTAGATTACAACATAAAAGAAAACAGTACATACAAGTGTGTAAATCAGCACAAAAATAAAATTGAGACAAAACTATCCATGCACTTTGGTCTGTAAAAATTACTTTAATTTTTAATACGAGAGAGAGCACTAGTTAGATATGGGAACACAAATAGTATTCCAAAGAGGTTCCATAGATATTTTGAAAAAGAGTTAAACTGAGCATTTCTCCAATAGAAAGTGAGAGTCTGGGAAATAAAATGAAGAAATGAAAGGTGAATTAAAAAGGTATTCTGCATCAGTCTTCACTATAAAGGAATGAAGTCACATCCCAGAGCTAGCCGTAGGTCAGGAAATGGAAGGGAGGTAGGAACTCAAGAAAATTACATTCAGCAGGGAATTGGTACTAAGTAAATTGTCAGAGCTGTGGGCTGACAAGAGTCTAAGTTCTGATTAACAAACACAGGGTCTTAAAAGTTGTTGGAGAGATAATTGATAAACTAGTTTTGATTTTCCAGACTTACCTGACTTAGGGAAGGTTCCATGAGATTGGAAAATAGTGAATGCAATCCCTTTATTAAAAAAAAAAGGAAGGGGGAACCATTAGCAAGAAACTGTAGTCAATTAACAGAAGATGTTAGAAGTTCATCATAGACTCCCTACAGAGTGGAAGCAGGACATTCAGCCCATCAGGTCCACACCAACTTTCTGAAGACCCACCCAGACCCACCCCCATAACCCCAAACTTCCCATGGCCAGTCCATCTAACCTGCACATCTTTGGATTGTAGGTAGAAACCAGAGTACCTGGGAGGAAACCCAAGCAGGCACAGGGAGAATGTGCAAACTTGACTCAGACAGTTGCCAGAGGCTGGAATCAAACCCAGGTCCCTGGTGCCCGGAGGCAACAGTGCTAACTACTGAGCCACCTTGCTGTTCTTAAGGACATTAAAACAGGGTACTTGGAGAAGTTAAAGTGATTCAGGCATGGTTTTATGCCTAGGAAATCATGCTTAACCAACTGATTTGAATTCTTGAAAGAATTAAACGTGCTAAAAAGGAGAATGGATGGACTTACTGGTCTAGATTTCAAGAATTTAATAATGATAACCAGCCAATCTTCTATTAATGGTAAACAGGAAACAGTGATTATAAGTGGGTAACTTTCTGTTTGGTAAGATGTAATGGGTAGTGTGCCACAGGGATCAATGCAGAGGCCTCAATATTTTACAATTCAAATAAATGAAGGGATTGAAGGTTTGGTTGCAGAGTTTGCGATGACCAAAATAGGTAGGAAAGTTAGTTAAGATGATATGAAAGGAGGTTACAAAGGAATATAAACAAGTTAAATGAGAGTGTAAAAATCTGGCAAATGAAGTATATTGTCCCATTGATAGGAAGAATGAAAAAGAAGCATGTGCAGAGGTTCTGGCTGTCTAAGTGCAGAGTTGCAAAAGGTTTGTATCAAGTCATTATGAAATTTGATAAAATAGGTTACGATTCCAACTGATGGTAATAATGGACAAGTCAGATCCTAGAGTGAAACAAGTTTCATTTTTGCCATTTATTTATTGTGGTGGTTAGTTACTGAACACAATCAAAAAAGACTGCCAATATACTTTCAATGAAAGAACAAAAAAGTTTATTACATGCAAGGGGGGTTGGGGCAGTAAGGGAAAATCACTAACCAACTGCACTACGCACAAACTGTTTGGAATGGTCTTATTGATCAACCCTTTTGCCTTTAACAACCTAACAGGTACTGTAAACCCTAGTGAAGGGTCACTGTCTTGACTTCAAGATTCCCTGTAATTATAGGGTCATACAGCTCAGTAACAGACCCTTCAGTCCAACTAGTCCACACTATGTTCCCAAACTAAACAAGTCTCACTTGCCTGTTTTTTGGCCCATATCCCTCTTAAGTACTTATCCATATGTCTCTGAAATGTACTTGCATCCACCACTTCATTCAACAGTTTAAAAACGTTGCCTCTCTTGTCCTTCAAAACTAGGGGGCATATTTTTGAGGAGAGAGAAGAAAGTTTTAAATTCCCCCACCCTAGGGAAAAGACCCTTGCTATTCACCTTATCTATGTCCCTCGTGATTTTCTAAACCTCTAAAGGTCACCCCTCAACTTCCTACGCTCCAGTGAAAAAAAAAGTCCCAGCCTATTTTTATATCTCAAACCCTCCAGTTCCAGCAACATCTGGAAAGTCTTTTCTGAACCCTCTCCAATTTGATAATATCCTTCCTCTAGCAGGGTGACCAGAACTGCACAAAGTACTCCAGAAGAGGCCTCATCAACATCCTGTACAGCCTCAACATGACATCCCAACCTTTATACTCAAAAGGTCTGAGCAACAAGGGCAAGTGTGCTCAACACCTTCTTAACCATCCTGTCTACCTGTGACACAAATTTCAAAGAACTATGTACCTGAACCCCTAGAAACACTATCCAGGGCCACACTATTAATTATACAAGTCCTGCCCTTGTTTGTTTTACAAAAATGCAACACCTCTCATTTATCCAAATTAAACTCCTTCGGCCAGTCCTCAGCCCATTGATCACAATCAATCACTTTGTAATCTTAGTGAATCTTCACTGTTCACCATACCACCAATTTCAGCAAATTTCTGCATTCACTTAGTGCTTTTTAAAAAAAAGTTAATGTCCCTTCCTCAGACCCTTAAATGAACGGTTAACACAAATCACTTGTTTCTTAATGTGTTCCTTTAACTCCTCTCCCATAGCCTTCTGACTCCAAAGCTTTACTTTCAACCATTACCACTCTGCTGCTATCACAGGCCTTTCCTTTCTGAAAGGCCTGCTTTTCTGAAAGAAACTTGCACATGCTGCCTGAACTCCTGGATGAGTCAGTCTTTCTATGCCATAGGACACTTTGTTATGAGACAACAGCAGTCTTTTTTCTCCTTGTATTGAATGCACTGGACTGCTCACCTCAGATGCCACATTCACCATGTCAAGATTTTATCTGTTTCATATAAAGTGCCCTCTTTCTCGTCTGAACTCCAGCAGACACAAGCCTAGCTTGTCTGACCTTTCTTCATAAGGCAACCCATCCATTCCTGGTATTAGTCTAGTAAATGGCTTCAACTACACTTATATCCTTCCTTTTTAAAAGATCAATACTGTATACAGTCCTCCCAGAGGTGATTACACAAACATCCTAGCTGACTGAAGCATTATCTCCCTACTCTTGTAGTCCATTCCATTTGAATAAAATTGTAATATTTCATTTTTTTAAAAAAAATGTTATAAAAAGGTGGACAGAACCATGCATAGCTTTGCAAACCCTCTTAAAATGCATATATTAACATTTCAGATATCTTTTCATCACTAACAAATCTAAGTTGAAATTAGAACTGTGTTTTTTTTTTAAACACAAGTCAATATAAAAACAAAAATCAAACTCAAGGCTATGCATGGTTCTGTCCACCTTATGACACATTAAAAAAAAACATGAAATATTACAATTGGTCCATACCTCTAGTTTACCAGTCCAGTAATTTAAAAGGTAAAGTTGCCATAGTCTTACCAAAACTATAGGGCTGCTCTCTTGTTAGAGAGATGACTGGTGGTAGTTTAAACCAAGGGTCACCACACCGCAGATGAGGAGAGATGTCGAGAAGGAAAGTCCTTCATGGTAACCTCAGCCAGTGCAGGAATTGAATCCACACTATTGGTGTCGATGTTGTATGTTGCTAATTTTGATATTCAATACAGGCTCGTACTGTCACATAAACCGTTGAGACGGACGGATAACTTGCCTGAAGTCCACAACTGCCAGTTGCTTTATGCTGATTATCTACTTCTGCTCAAAGACTTTATACTTTGGTAAATAATTGATGGATATTGATTAAACCGGTTAGTTGTTAAATTAACAAAAAGATTACAGTTTAAACTGATGGCCTCAATTATACTTTCATAATCCTACTAGCTGGCTTACAGCAGCCAGGGTGGTGTTCGGTCAGCTGGAAGTGGTATTGTGCCAAAGGAAAGATCTGACAATTTTCAACAAAATATCAATGCATGGGATTCTGAAGTGATTTAATTGGATCAGTTAAGGGAAACTTTACACATTTTAATCTTGTTTATTACAATGTGGAGTCCTCTGCATTAGCATAAATAATTGGATGTGTGCCCAATGACAAAGAAGCAGTCTGCCTTTTGTTAAGCTGGGTTGTTAGAAAGAATTGCCATAAATGTTTGAAATATTTGTAATGTGTATTCCAGATATCATTAACTTGAAGGCTACAGATGCTAGCGGCCGAGAACCAGAGTCCCCTTTGTTGTGTATAAAAGGTCAGACATGTGTCTTCATGGGTTTGGAGGAAGGGTCACTCGACCCAAAACGTTAACCGATTTCTCTCCATAGATGCAGCCATGCCTGCTGAGCTTTTCCAGCAATTTCTGCTTTTGTTTCTGATATACAGCATCTGCTGGTTTTTTCTCGGTTTGTGTGACTTTATATCTGGTGTTTGTTGGCTGAGCAACCCAACTGACTATTTTGAACTCAAGTAACCACTTCTTGTATTAAGAATCTGTTACACAAGATGTTGATTGTCTGAGTTTCAGATTATCAAAATACTTGCGTCTCTACAAATTCATCCATTTTTCATGTTTTATGGTACTGTAGCTTGTGTAGAAGTGAACATGCAAAAACTAATGACCCTTGCAGATAGGATTTGGGAAGCTACAACTTTTGCTCCTGCCAAAATCATTACCAAGGAATAAGTTAGCCTCGTCCATGGATAATGTCTGTTTAAAAAAAAAACAGAACTGGCACTGTTCTGAATGTCAAGTCAAATTTTAAGTGCACTCAAAGGGATAGGTATATGCTGCTATTAATTACATTTATTAAAACTTTGGCTTTTAATGTGCTCTCTGGGGGAAATCTTATTGATGTGGGTTTTCAAAGGAATGGCAACCACAGGCAGACTGACACTGCTCGTACTTTCTGCTGTTTAAACAGAGCTTTGTATTGCAATAGCAACTCAGAAATGCAGAGAATACTTTAAATTCAATTGTGACTTGATAGTCACAGATAGTCAGGGGAAGGCAGACAACACCCACATTCTTATGACAATAGTTGCTGTATTCTGTGATTTAAATGTTTATCAGCACAGACAGCCACTTTGGCTCCTGTAAAAGGCTAAGTATGTTTGTATGTGTGGTTAAGGTAGCAGGTATGTATATGTTAGGGTGCATGTGGATGGGGTGCCAGTTAAGTCAGCTATCTGGGCTTAGAGTGGAATGTAGGTTTTGATGTGTTTAGTTCGGCAGCAGTGGGGTTCAGGTCTGCCGTGGAAACGAACATTATTGGGTCCAATGGTTGAAGAGGGAATATGTCGGGTCCTGAGGAGAGGCGGTGTTGGATTTTAGGGGGAGAGGAGGTTGCTAGATTAGGGTCCATGGAAATTTAAGGGTTCTGGGGGAGCGGTCATGGGGGTTGTCAGTTTAATAACCAAGTTTTTAATCTTCTAACTATACTTACATAACTATTAACTGCAGCAAAACCAGGTGAGAGTTTTTAAATGACCATTAAAAATGGATTCCTGGTTAGCATTAGACTTTGAATTGCAGATGCTTATTTTTTCTTTCAACTTTCAGAACAGTTGTCACATGGTGGGATTCAAACCAGGTCACCAGAGCTATACTTGGGTCTCTGGGCTACTAGTCCAATGACAATGCCACTGTGCCAGCTTTTCTCCCTGTATCTCTTAATATAGAGATATGTTAAGCTGTATCATTTGATGAAGATGTTAATATTCCCCTCAAAAAACTTCTTTGCCCCACCATATGCACCTCTTCTGCACTCTCAGCCACGTTTACTTTTGCACTCAGTTGTGGTTAGAGCTACAACTTTATCTGTTTTCATTCCGGTTCCTTTTTTGGAATCATTCTTAGGAATCCCAATAAGTTCCCATGGTTTTCCCATGCAACTGTCAGCATTCTGACTGAAGGTGTCCCACTTTATTCGAATGGAAGCACTGACCTTCTATTAGAGTTCCACCCGCAGCACCCTTTTTTTTAAAACCTCAGCCAGAAGAGGAATTCCGGGGCATTCCCAGTGGTGCTTTCAATACCCTGGCTACTTGTTTTCCTTTCACTTTCCCACTATTCTTTTCTGATTTATGGAAGTGACAGAAAAAGACAGATTCAAGTTTATGGATCAACTCAAATATCAGTCACATTTGCTAAAAGCAAAATACTGTGATGCTGGAAGATTGCAGTATGAGAACAAACTGGCACCAAACATAAAAGGGGAATACCAAAGTTTTTTATAGAGATAAAATGGTAAGAGTGGTAAAAGGAGTTGTGTCGATTAGGGATCAGAAAGGGGATTTCCACATGGAAGCGGGATGCATGTCTGAGGTATTAAACAAATATCTTGCACCTATCTTTGCCTAGACACTAGATGCTATCCAGGCATAGTGACAGAAGAGGAAACTATCACTACAAAGGTTCAGAATAGATAAGGAATAAGTGTTGGACAGACTATTGGTACTTAACTTTGACAAGGTACCAGGACACTAGGATGCATCCAATAATATTGAAGGAGGTGACACCAGATATTGGATACTGGCCATAATCTTTCAGGCTTCCTTAGACACTTCCAAAAGACTACAGAATTACAAATATCACAGCCTTGTTCAAAAAATATTGCAAGGGTAAGCCCAGCAATTACAGACCAGTTTAACTTCAATGGCAGGGAATTTTTTAGAAACAATTATTCAGAGTAGAATTAGTGGTCAGAGGGAAAATTGTGGATAGATTGAAGAGGCAGCATGGATTTCTGAAGGGAAGTTTTGTTTAAATAACTTGCTAGAGGTAACAAAAGATTGATGAGAGCAATTCTGTCATTGTGGAGTACATCGACTGCAGACGGTTTTATTCATTCATGGGATGAGGGCATCACTGGCAAAGGCAACGTTTATTGCCCATCTGATTGCCTAAAGGACAGTTAATAGTTAATTACATTGGTGTGGGTCTGGAATTATGCGTAGGCCTGGCCAGGTAAGGATGGCAGTTTCCTTCCCTAAAGGGCATTAGAGGGGGAAACTGCCATCCTTACCTGGCCAGGCCTACATGCGACTCTGGACCCACAGGGGAGGTGATGACCTAGTGGTATTAGCGCTAGACCATTAATCCAAAGACCCAGATAACAACATTTTGGGACCTGGGTTCAAATCCTGCCATGGCAGATGGTGGAATTTGAATTCAATAAACTATCTGGAATTAAGAATCTAATCATGACCATGAATCCATTGTTGATTGTCAGGAAAAGCCCACCTGGTTCACTAACGTCCTTTTAGGGACAGAAACTACCATCCTTCCCTGGTCTGGCCTACACGTGACTCCAGACCCACAACAATGTGGTTGACTCTGAACTGCCCTCTGGGCAATTAGGGATGGGCAGTAAATGCAGCCTAGCCAGCAACACCCTCATCCCATTAATGAATCAAAAAAAGTGTCATGGTCAATGATACGATTTAAGGTGTGTCGTCTAAAAATGATTTATTTTAAGAGTTCAGCATTTTGGACTGGTGGTATGGGGGTTTCAGTCTAATGTTTAGGAGGGTGTTTAATGATTAACTTATCAGTAGTTCAGGATCTATGTTTTTTTCTTCTTAATGCCAGTATATGAGAGAGAGTCTCTAGAATGATAATGAGAATTGGTTTGCATTGGGAGAGTTTTGGGAGTGGATAGTAATTTATTTAATAGGATTTGTTTGGTTTCAGTTTGAAGCATCAGGAATTTTTGCTTGGGGAATAAACCATATCTTGAAAAGCTTTTATTTTCAGTATGCAGAAGTGCTGCTTGGAGTTTGAAGTTTAAAAACAGTTCCTGCTGAAGACACAAGATAGTTCTGAACAGTTAGGAAATAGGTTACCTCAGGTATAAATATTTTAGTTTGAAAGTTCCAGGACAGAAGGGTTTGGTTAGCACCCAGAAGGGGTTGTTTGAAGCTCAAAATCTAAGATCAGTTGTGTGACCATAAAAGGAGGAGGCTTTCAAACACTCAAGACTGGGGATTGAAAGAAACTGTTAAGTCAAACCTATAATATGTGATAGACAGAGAATCTTCTCTTGCTTTTGAGTACTGTGAGGTGATAGTGTTGGAATGGACGGTATTATTTCTTTACTGTGCGTTTTGAAATCTTCGTTAGATTACTTTGTATATTACCTCTTCAAAGGAAAGGGGATCCAGTAGATGTAATATATTTGAATTTCCAAAAAAGTTAGATAACGTACCACACAAGGTACTTAATAAGAGCTCAGGGTTTTGGGATAGTTTCAACATGGACAGAGGATTGATTAGCTAAGAGAAGTTGTCCCCTTTATCATATTTTCAGGATAGCAACCCGAAACAACCGAGTATTGCCACAGAGATCAGTGCTGTGGCCACAATTATTTATATATTTTAAAACTCTTTAAACTTACTCTGACAGAATCGGTTGAAATGGAGGCAAGGTTGGCCTACGGACTGGAGGCTGTCATGGATAGGTGAATCCCTGGTATGAACTGGACACGAGACGCTGGACTGGAGGCCATTGAAGGGAAGAGAGTCCCCATTACGGGTAGGCGAGGTCCCTTACAGACTGGACACAAGGCCTCGAGCTTTGAAGCTTGGTGTGATCTGGAGGCGTGGACTGGGGCAGAAGGACTGTAAATGTCTACTTTTTAAAAATTTTATATTTATTACTTTTTCTATTTTATTTTATATTCTATTCTATTTTATACCAAAATACTTAAGTATTTGTACCTAG